AAATAAAGAAGGTAAAACATGTGCCATGAATAGAATAGACACAAAAAATAATAAACTGAAACCAGCGCGCATTTACCTGTCCACAATGGGTGGATAGTTTAATTGCAGTTTATGCACACAAATGATGAACTTGTCATGCTCAGGTTTGGCTGTATTAACTAAAGACAGAAGCTTCTGACTGACCATGTCATGCAGTGGACCATCAAATATCTAGAGGTTGATAAATCGAATATATTAGGCGTAAAAAGAGCAACAAACACATTCACAGAAGTCCCAGTTTTTTTTAGCTATTAACTTTTAGAATATGTTTTTAAAAAACAGATCATACCTTAGCTAATTTGATAAATATCACAATGGTGGTGTAAAATAATAACTTCTCATAAACTAGACACAGAAGCGTTGGTGAAATTGCAGTTTTTAGACCGCTGACTCGAGCCTAGTTTAGGGAGCCGTGCTTGCCCCACGAGTTCAATTTACGGCCAAGTCTTATTCAAACAACGAGTATGTGACTCCTCAAGCGGGTAAGAGCAGAGCTAAACAGCGTACTTGCAGCCAGCAAAATTTTACATTTAAAGCCCTCTTGATGAATTACTGAAACCCAGTGGAGACGCAAATTTGTAACTTTTTAAGAAAGCTACTATGTACCAGGCTTTTCATTACCTTTTTCACATTTGCTAACTGCATCATCAGCAGTCCAATCACTTCAGCTGCTGCAGCATGGACATCTTTGTATTTGAAAGTTAAGTTGTTGACGAGAATATTATAAAACCTGTTGAACATTGGCAATTGTTAACAGCAAATAATGAAGGAAAACTATCCTCTTCAAATAAATAAAATGCCCTACGTGGACCCGTTAAAATTATCCTCACAAAGATTATCCGAGGGCGTTTATCTGACTAAGTCCTCCCTTATTGAAGCATTTTCAATATCGTCAAACAAACCGGGAAAGAATTTCTCGGAGAATAAAGACTCCTCCTTTCAGTACATGTACCTCTTTCTTACAGGTTGGTTGGACACCTCGCCTTCTTTTAACTGATGAGATTAACGAGGACGAAAAAGCTGAGGTAGCATCGAACCTTACACATCTAAGGTTATACAATAGGTGTGTGGTAAAAGTACACTGCAAACATACACTAGATCTGAGACAGACGTTAAGAACTTCACCTGTCTTCATCAACTGTGGAGTCACTAGTAACAGGGAGTAAACCATTTGCAACAACTATTCCAAGTAACTGAATACCAACAGCATTGTCCTTTTTCACCGGGTCAGGATCAGAAAACGAGTGAAATATCACCCTTAAATAAAAAATTTAACAGTTCAAATTGGTCTGCAACTTAAAATAAAGAATGAAACAAACAAAGAAAAAAAAGTACCCCGAGCTACGAGACACCGTAGAATGGTACATGTACCAATTGTTCAGAAACTACTTGACTATACCAGTTATTGCTTCCCCTCTTGACAGTGGAACTAGTAAACCTGTAGACTATAGTACGTAACTGACACAAGCACCTTATTCATTATAGTAATAACTCACACTTGGGTTTTTCAAGCAACACATGTAATTTATAGATTAAGCCAAGCCTAAAAAGCGGACCTTTCAACAGTGTTTCCTTCGCATTTTTCATCAGTGACATTACGCCCGTATTGCCAGAAAAGGTCGTTTTGCTTGTAAGGATACATTGAAAATGATTTTCATATTCCTAATTCTTTAAAGATGAGCAGAATCGCAAAGCCTTAATAATACTGAACATTCATCGGTTTGGACACGTCAGAACTGCAATCATTTACTGCTAGATTACGACATTAAAAAGAGGCTACAAACCAATTTACTATGAATGCCTAAAGCATATAGAGCATACAAGCTTTCCTACGAAATTCAAGATTAACGTACTCTGTAGGCACATGAAGAATGCTCTTCCAGATTTCCACAACGCATTTCACTATTTCCAAGTTGTTCCTGAATAAAGCGCGATGCGTGTGTCGAGTTCTAGACATCAGAAACCCGAGAAGTCTGCTGGTGAGGTGACGATCACTGTCACTATCCTATGAAAATAATTTTTCTCGAGTCATCTTAATATTGAATCGTAAGAAATACATAAATACGTTTAATTTTCTCTGAAAAATTAACTTGACTAACCTCTGGTATTGCTGTCGTACTCCACGACAACAGAGTGACTACAAGATCCACAATGAAGTAATTGATGCCTTCTATACCTGCCGGTTCTGTCTCTTTCATTTGCAGGATTAGCTCCATTAAAGGATTAAGCCAGAACTTTGCATAGGCTTCAAATATCTTTAAAAAATTGTAATGGGAATGTCACAAGAGAGACTACGACACGCCCATAAAAACACTGTCAGTGATAACTGAAATCAATAAATGTTTTTTAGGTCACAAAGAGAAAACATTATCATTTTAAAGCTCGTCTAGAGTTTGTTTTAAGGGGTTCTCCGCTGATGCCATCGGTTACAAGTTTTTTGTGGCACCAAACAATTTTTCAAGACAATCCAATAAAGTTTTCACATGTCCTTACCTTATCATTGGATGAGGCCAGCTGTGGCCGGGTTAGGATAATTATCAGCCATAAAACGAACGTTCTCGTACAGGCTTTGAATGAGTGTAACTTTGTATCTCTTGGCAAGTGTGGTCTACGAATTACTCTCCTTTTTAAATGCGGGTATTTGTTTTATTTGCTTATGCAACGAAAGACAGTGGTACCATTATATGAACAGAGCTTTTAAAATGTTGAAAAGTTGAACATGTGAAATCTCTTAGACATATTCTGTTCTTATTAAAGTGTAGTGAGCACCCACCTGCTTTGTATGCAGCCTTTGACTTACATAACTTTGAAAAGGTTCTATAATGTGGCCTACTTAATTAGTATCAAGATCTACTTCCTGCCTAATACCTTGGCCTCATTAATAATAAGCTTGGCAATGAAGAGTCGAATGTTAAGGTGGGTACTTAATGATGTCATTTTCTTGTGTAATGGAGCCATCCATGCTGCCATATCTGTCGGAGGTACATCCTGTAAGTAAGTTCACGGATGAAATGACACATTTATAAGATAAAATCCGACGTCATAACACGGGTTATTTTTGTATTTCCAAATACTCATTTAAATAATTTGAAGAATAATCTTGGACCCAAACTTTTACAAAATATCACATATCTACACCTTCCTAGGTTAAGGTGGCTTCACAGTATTTCATTCCTTCCTTTCCCAATTATCCTTGAACGTGGTGCGATAATTCAATCGAAGAACAGAGAAAAGACAGCTACAACACTGTCGGTCGAAACACAAGTTTCAATTGCTGGTTCTTAATGAAGATTTTAAAAGCCGTGACTAATCAAATTCGTTTCTACATTCTCAAGGGAGGAGCTTACATCCGGGGAGACTTACGATCAGAAGTATTCTACAGGATGACGAGTCTTCAAGCGGGAACCGAATGGCTTCAGTTTGACACTTTACGACAAATGGGCGTACGGCACGAATTGCACCGCGTTCGCCCCCCTATCGAGTTCGCCCCCTATCGAGTTCGCCCCTACCTTATGCCGTGTTCGCCTCCACACTTTTCGAGTTCGACCCCATCAAGTCGAGTTCGCCCTTTGATTGAGTGATATCCAGATGAGTTGATTTGTGACGAAGGCACTAGCAGAATGTGCCAAATGTCACGTCAGCGATGACCATTTTGAATTTCGGCAATTGCTTGGAACCTGCTTGGGAACTGGGTTGACGGAATCAACTAAATACTCAGCGTAGGATCTGGGGTTACCAGAAATAACTGTATACACTGAACTTGTGATAAAGAGAACCACACTTAATTAAAACAACATTGCTTAACTTATTATTCAGACTGGAAAAAATGTAAAACAACCTCGGTTTATCTAACGAACACAAAATATGTTGATCGTAACAACCAGACTTGAGAAGATGCAAACCACGCTTTCATTGCGATAGCATTGCTTAAGTTGTCATACTTGTACCCGTTTAGCTTTATTTCTGAAATTAAGACTGAAGAATTTACGAAAGCACGATTTGATCACGCTTTTGATTATTTAAGACTTCTTAAGAGAATGCGTTGCACACTTCATTGGGTTTTCGGTCATGGCAACCAGACTTGAGAAGATGCAAATCACACTTCCATCGCGACAGCATTGCTTAAGTTGTTAGACTTGTATCTCGTTTAGCTTTATTTATAAAAATAAGACTGAAGAATTTTCGAAAGCACGATTTGATTACGCTTTTGATTATTTAAGACTTCTTAGAAGAATGCGTTGCACACTTCACTGTGTTTTCGGTCATAGCAACCAGACTTGAGAAGATGCAAACCACGCTTTCATCGAGACAGCATTGCTTAAGTTGTTAGACTTGTACCTCGTTTAGCTTTATTTATGAAATTAAGACTGAAGAATTTACGAAAGCACGATTTGATCACACTTTTGATTATTTAAGATTTCTTGAGAGAATGCGTTGCACACTTCATTGTGTTTTAAGGTCATAGCAACCAGATTTGAGAAAATGCAAACCAGGATCGCAAACCGCGCTTTCATCGCATTGTGTTAATCATAACAACCGGACTTGAAAAGATGCTCACCACACTTTTACCTTCCTGCTATGCCTTCTGAGCCTCCTGCATTTGATGAGTCGTCGCCAATGGAGCCTTCAGCCACAGACTCGGGACCAGCCAGCTTTGAGATCGAGATTGAGACCGTAGACGATTCCACAAAGCGGGGCCGAAACAAGCTGGTGGACAGCCGTGGTTACACGTACAACGTTAAAAGACGTCGAGGCGGAAACACTGATTGGCAGTGCACTGTTAGACCAAAGGTACCCACAGTTTTACATTCTTTTCTTTGATTAAAGTCTTGGGCCCCACGCCGCACAATCACCCAGGGCAAGTGGACGCAGGCTTAGCAGCCCGGATAATTGCAAAGACGAAAAAGGAGGCTGTCACGAATTTGTTTAAGCCGGCGTCTGCAATTGTTAACGAGGTGCTGATGGAGGAGCTGACAGATGATCCGTGCCCCAGTTTGCCAAAGCCAGTAAACCTCGCCAAAGCAGCTAACCACCTTCAGCAGCGATTGAGACCAGCAGATCCTGTAGACCTCGAGTTTGAATTGCAGTCCGAGCACATCCTTGAGAACTTTCTCTTAAGGTTAGGCATTTGTAAAAGAATTACCCTTGTAAAAAGTTCTTGCAAATATTTCATTTGTCTTTCATCATCAAATGTTTTTATCACGCGTTTATTGCACTATTTATTATATATTTCAAGCAGCTACATTAACACTCTGTTGTTTGATTTTACAGGTACGTGGGCGTCGTCACCTTCTCTTCGCCAGCCAGCAACAGCTAGAGGTGTTGTGCAGGGCCAAGGCCTGGTACATCGACGGTACCTTCAAACTTTGCCGAAAACTTTTCAGCCAGCTACTGACCATCAATGCGTTCGTGCATATTTACATATTGATATGCATTTTCCTCATTTTCTTCTCAGGGAAAAAGTCAGCTTCCCCTGTACATGCTGATCCAGCTGCTTCACGGAGAGACGACCCTCCAAGTCCGAATGGTTTCGGAGCACAAACTATGCAGACTTCAGCGACGAACCTACCGGCAGCTGCAAGCAAAGATCTTCAGCCCAACCCAACCCGATCGTTGAACGACCTTGTAGCCTTTCGTTTCGGTCAAATACAAAAACGGCTCCTGTAGGAGCCACCCAATCTATAAAGGTCATGACCAACGAAAGTTCTCTGTATTTCACTGTTTGACCACATTATTTCTTGTTTCCGGTCGCCCCAGCTCCCACGCACATATAAACTTTCAAAACGGCCGTCGGTCAATTAAAATTCAAACCTTGTCTTGGTTCTAACTTGTTTGCAATGTTCGATAGCAACTAATTTAGACATAACTCAATCTGGGGGCCAACTCGACTTGGTGGGGTCGAACTCGAAAAGTGTGAGGTCGAACACGGTATAAGGTAGGGGCGAACTCGAAGTGGCGAACTCGATAGGGGGCGAAAGCGGCGGATACCTACGGCTCATAGGTTGTAGCTACCTATGTGTGAATGAGTGTGATAGAACCAGTACATTTGCAGCTTTAACCCAAATAGGAGGTACCGCCGAAGTAACGAAACGGTAATTGAAAGAAGATTGTACGTAAATAGTTGCTTGTATCTTCAGAAAAAATATTGGGTACCCCTGTAAATTCAAGCTCAAATTAAACATACCTTAGGCTGATTGGGTGAAATTCTCTTGTCTACGAGGTGCTTCAACAAGGAACTCATTTTTGCCATACACTCGTGCCTGTTCAAATCATCCATCTCCAACGTATCCTCACTGACTTCACACCAGTCACCCTGAAATAGTGGAGACCAACTATTTTTCACTACAAGTTCAAGAATCATTCCGTCGCTATAGTGTGAAGAGATTGAGACATTTGTATTAAGCCAGATTTTGTGCCTTTGTAAGACATTTAACAATTATTCCATGGGCGTGTGTTGGATATGAGATGGCAAATAGCCACCGAGGGGCGTAACGTCGAGTTGTCTATGACCGATGTCTTAAGCAATTTAAGCAGCCGGAAGCCATTGTCATTTCCGACCACCAAAACTCCAAAGCAATTTACACAGCCCTAATTGAGTATTTGCACGAGATACAATAATTTATGGAAGACAAAGTATTCAAAATAATGTTTGCGTTCCAGCTTATCGACAAGCGGAAAGTTGTACAAATTTTGTTGTACTATTATGTTTAACAGGATTGTTCGACTTAATGAACAAAAAGAGATTTCCCTTCTTCTGTATCAACCACAAGACCCTCTCTCGCCTTGAATTAAATTTAAAAAGAAGACTTACCGTAGTGGACGTAACGTTTTAAGATTGGGGAATGTCGCTTGAGTGATATTCTCGGATATCACCCAGTTTTAACAGTGTTTCTTTATTTGAAATCTCAATAGTAAGTGAAATCTTAGTAATACGACTAGCAAACAGTTAAGGTATTGGCTGTAACTTAAAATACAGGTAGGAATATTGATGAGAATATAATGGTTATGAAGAAATCTCAACAATGACATTAGCTGTTAACTTTAAGGTCTGATTATTTAAACAAAGTTTATCCCTCGCCGTTTCGTATGCGGTTTTGTTAAACTGTCAAAGCTTTTTAGGCTTCAATTTATGAACATTACTACCAAAGTATGACAGAATGTAGTGCAAGCGGTCTCTAAAGTAACCTAAACTGCTCTACGTTTCAATTAAAAAAACTATGTCTACTCAACCGTCTGCTCTGCAGTTGAACTGCTCCCATTTGACTTGTACAAAGCTTGCCTCACTCCAGTTGCGGATAGAGCCTGAATGAAAAAGGCGCGAGAAATAAATTAAGAATTTGTTCATGTTTAGCGTGCGTATATCGAGTTATGGATGCATGAGGGAAGTTTGGAGAGCGCGAAAAATGCGTAAGAGCATCTCTAGCTTTTTGAGTGTTCTCCAAACTTCCCAAGTGTATCCATAACTCGATATACACACAGCTAAAAGCATGAGCAAATTCTTTGATGACAGAGTGACAACAAGGATCTGCGCGAAGAAGCCTGTTATTGTGATAGAGTGCAAAATTCTCACAACGCACAAAAAAAGTAAACAAATGTCCCTCTTGGCTGGTCAAAAACACGCCACATTTTATACTTTGGTTTGCGAGAACATTTGAACCAGTTAACCGATAACTGTAAACGAAAAGCTCAAAATTTACGGGGAAAATGGAGAAAAGCAAAGCCAAATGAACTCAAATGAAGTTATCAAGGGTTTTGATTGTTCAAAATAATGTTTACGCTGTCGTGTAGGCCCTTCCCGTTTACGCTAGCATTTTTTTGGCATTATGTGGTTAAAAAAGCATTTTTTTTACACTTTTTCTGTAAAAAGAATTTCTAGCATTATTTAAAATTTGCATAACTTTGATCTAGAATTCAGCACTCAAAAGAATTTAAATGCTAAATTTTAGAATTAAAAAGTATTGTGATGATTTGCTTTTGTGTTTTAGAGAAGGAATTCTGTAACAGTATGAACTGAGTGCAGCTGGGAAGCGGTTAATTTTCAGAGGCAGTTCACGCGCATGTACAAACAAGATGGCGTCGGCCAGTGCCGCGCCATCTTCTCGATACTTGCAGCTCATAGAAGGAAATTCTGAAGGAGAACATTGACCAGTCCCTTCAACGATAGATCGAGATCGATCTTTAGAATCAACCAGTGGAAATTACAAGCAGAGAGGCAACACCGTTACAACGAAAGTCCCGTGATATGAGCGAGTTAAGCAGTTCCCAGGCGAGAATTTGATTGTCAGAGAAGGAAAGTTGTTTTGCAGTAGATGTAGAGAAATCATTTCCTCCAAGAAAAGTGTTCTGAAATCCATATTTCGTCCAAGAAGCATCAAGACGGGAAAGAGAAGTTGAAAAAGTCGAAATTGAAAGACCAGACCCTAATCGAGGCACTCAGAAGAGAAGGAAGTTCAAAAAATGGCACGTTGCACGTGGAAGAATGTGCCTACAGACTCGAAGTTGTCAGTGAGGTTTGAAGGCGAGTATCCCGATCGGTAAAATAGACATGCTATGGTCTCTGTTAGAGAAGAACAGCTATCGACTCATTGGAAGCTCTCACCTACGACAGTATGTTTCTATGGCTTTGAAACAGGAAATTGAACGGATTAAACAAGAACTGGAAATGATTGGTCAAGTTGGCATGACAAGGGAACTTTCAGTCATTTTTTACAGCAGCACCAGATAAGGGGAAGCAATTGCTATAATAGTTCGTTTTGCGGACATTAACTAGAACATTATCCAACGGCTTGTGAGAATTGATGTTTGCTCTCAGTCAGTTAATGCCAACGAACTTGCATAAGTACTTAATCAGTGCCTGTCTGTTGATTATGGGGTCAGAGCAAATTCCTTGCTCGCAGCCATGAGAGATGGTGCAAGCGTTAACCAAGCAGCACTGGAAAGAATAGCATTTATAATCCCTAGGATGCTGAATGTCGTGTGCTTCTCTCATACTCTTGATAACGTGGGAAACCACTTAGTGATCCCAACACTGGTGGAGTTCGGAAGCCTTTGGATTAGAATGTTTCGCCATAGTTGTAAAACCAAGCTGTTATAGAAGGATCTAACAGGTCAAACAAAACTCGCTTCTACACCTATCAAAATGAAGTTCCTTTTTTTCAATTAACGTTTTTGACAATTTTTGGCATGTATAGGTTATGCCTTTTAACAATCCAAGTCATCAGTTTTCAACGAATTCCACGGGAAACCCTTATGCAAGCCAATGTTCCTTTAGAAATGCTACGCTACTACAAACATCCTTTTTTAGAGGACGAATTCTTGGAGCTAAGGCACACCGGAAAGTGACAAAATTTTCACTAGTGCAGCCAATATGACGCTTTCATGGTTTTCCCAACTGAGTATATTTTGTCAAATAAAAAACCAATATGAGTTTTGGAATCACTTGACATTTTTAAACACACTTATGATAATCGCGAGAAGTTTGTAATAATTTTTTTTGGTAAGTTCTGTGTAAAGCGCCTTATTTTATGTGCTACTTTCCTAATTTTATATTCTTTTCATTTCCTACTTGGCTTTTCGCTTTTTTGTATGACAACTTAGATGCAATTACGTATGTCTTTGCCCTCTTACGCAAAAGTCAGCACTTTAAACGGGAACTGGCTGAACCTCAGTTCATCAAATCTGACTTTACCTGTATTGGTGTAGAGAAATCATACTGACTGATATCTTCACTAAGACTGCTGTCTGCTAAATACTGTGAAGACATGTAGTGTGTAGAGAGCCCTGTGTCATACAAAAACAATTTATTTTTTAAAAGTCTGAACCTACTCCTAAGGGGGAACTAAGCTCCAAAAACTAAATAAATACTTCTGACCACCGCCATTTGAAAGTATTGAGAAAGTATAATACTGACTAAATTTTCAGATTCCAGAGGGTAGGATAGGGTAACTAAAGCCTTAAATATAGCAACATAATAAATATTGCCTACAACCAAGCTGCTTCCCTATGACGTAACGATGTCTCACTCTTCTTTTTTGGAACTGTGACCTGTTTGAACACTAAGGAGCTACACAAAAATTAGTCTTGATTAAAACAATGATCAAAACCCGCCAGTGAGCCATGGATTGCTCTATCTGTGCACACGGCCCTTGGGCGCGCGTAGAGATGGAATTTCTTTTCGAGTGTTCTACTCGATGGCTGACGAGTGAACGTAGCGAACGAGTTCAGATATCGAGTTGAACACTGAAAAAAAAGAAAACCCTCTGAAACTGGGCCAAATGAAACTTCGCTGATATTGATTAAGCCATCTCACCTGTTCTTCCAGCTGAATCTTCTTGACTATTTTCCCTTGGAGAAGGAATTCGTGCCTGCATTCTGAATTGTTTTCTTCTCTCTAATGGAGCCTGTGATGTGGA